TGGTATGCTGGTGCAGTAGAATTAGGAACATAATACGCGTGTTTTTTCATCTCTCCGGAGTACTTGAGGGTTACTGTGTACTAGTATATGGCACAGATAGGAGATTTCCTGTGAGTAAATGTGTAAATAAAGCCATGACAGGTTAAGGCCACTCTGTTTGTTTTTCACTGCCTTGCTATTAGTGAAGGTGGCCCAAAGGCGGCTGGCTTGATTCGACAATTACTGATTCGCGCGAGGGCTCAATTGACCCTAGTGATATAGTCCTAAACTATCCAATTCAGCGAAAAGTGCACCTTGTGAAAATAGAATGCGTTTACAGTATTAACAGACTGCCAAAATATTTGTCTGATCCAGACCCACCAGAAATGGAAGCTGCACACATTGTACCCATGTGGGGAATCAAACTTCTGGTCTTTGGCAGGGACAGCAACCAAATGCTTTGCCAGTGAGGCTACCCAACCACCGGACAGAAAGAAGACAGAAAGAAAGACAGAAGACAGAAGGAAAGAAACAAAGACGAGGCACAAACAAACGCACCTCTGGTTTCTACGTGACCGTGAGTCGATGCTGAATCCCAGAACATCCTGTTCTCCATCCCCAAAGAAGAAATCCCGGTATGTTTGCAGCCAGACGCTGGCTATGTCTCTGTCATTTTCAAGTGGTTGAACTCTCGAGTCTGAGAAGTCATCAGCTGTTACGGGCGTCATCTCTGTAAGCTACATCTTCGATGTCAGAGTGCTATTTCCGATCATTTCACTACTGCTTTTGGCCAAGGGTTTACTTGCACCCATCTGCTTCAGTGAGCCTAAAAGGAAGAAAACAACAACAAGATTAAATTAATATCCCAAACATCCTTGCATCTTTAGCAAAGGAAAGTCCTTGCACCATGCATGAATACCAAATGAAAAGCAGAAATCCTTATTGGCCAAGTATGCACTGGAAGATATGAAACAAACCCCATCTCATCTGAACCTGTTACTGGCATGGAAATACAAAATGTGATTTAACATATCTGGCATTTTTGTGTATGAAAAAGAAACAAAGTTTCATGATAAAACTTGAATGGTTTACAAGTTTAAGCCCTTGAAATGAAGCCTATGTCGTCTGAGCAAATACCCACAAAATTTGGAAAAAGTGTCTCTATACTCTGTACAGCATAATATCTTGATGATGGTTTCAAATTTGATGATATATTTATCAGTTAATGATGTATTTAAAATGTCATTCATAAGGGTTTCTGAGAAAATGCCAGTACTGAAGACCATGGTGGTCAAAAGATTAACCACGGGATTAACTCACAATATAACTGTACAATAAGAACCTTTAATGATTGTTTTAAAATGAAACTTATCGCTTATTGATTCCTGTAAAGTGCCATCCTTGCAGTTTCCAAGAAAATCCGACCAAACAAACATAAATCTGGACAACAAAGTGATTATGATATGATGACATGACTGAAACTAGTGAGGCTAAGCTGTTAGTTGCCTCTTAAGACAAGCATGTATGGAGTTGCTGAAGATAATTTCTCATCTGCATCTTCTCTGAGACAAACCTTTTCTGCATCCTGTTTATGTTAGAGCTCTGGACCAGCTTGAGGGCGTGCGTGAGGGTCTGTGTGAGCGGCGAACATCATCTTCAACAACCCCATATCTGGGCCACCTGCTGAAGACAGCAGAGGCAATCATGTCACATGACAAGTCCATTATTTTCAGTGCTGATGATTATACTGGTGAGTGAGTTTAGTTTATTATGCACTCAGAAAATTCCAGCTGTATGGTGGCTGTCTGTAAATAATCGAGTTTGGACCAGACAATCAGTGATCAACATCATGAGCATCAATCTACGTAACTGGGATGCGATGACCATGTGTAGGGAGCTGTTAGTATAACCTTGGCATAAAATGGCAGGTATTGCGATCATGAGATCAGTAAGTGTTAGCAGCCTCTGGTTTGTTTAATGCTGATATTCATATTTCACAGCATACAACACAACATGTGAGGACCAAGTCAGTGAGCCTGACCACCTAATCCCGTTAGTCGCCACTTACGACAAGCATGGGTTACTAAAGATCAATTCTAACCCGGATCTTCACGGGTAAGCTGGCTTTACGAAGTGGATATTCTGGCTCAATGACTTGGTTGATGGAGTGTCAATGGACATAGGAGACAGATTGGCCACCAGTCACAAACATGGAGAGACAGAGACGGAAACAGATAGATAGACACACAGACATACAGGAGGAAACACACAGATGTAGATAGATGGATGGATGGATGGAATGGGTGGGTGGGTAGATGGATGGAATGGGTGGAGTAGGTGGAGTAGAGTGGATGGAGTGGTGGGTGGAATGGGTGGATGGGTGGGTGTGGTGGATGGATGGAATGGGTGGGTGGGTAGATGGATGGAATGGGTGGGTGGGTGGGATGGATGGATGGGGAATGGAATTGGGTGGGTGGGTAGGTGGATGGAATGGGTGGGTGGGTAGAGTGGATGGATGGATGGAGGGTGGAGATGGATGTGATGGGATGGATGGAATGGGTGGGTGGGTAGATGGATGGAATGGGTGGGTGGATGGATGGATGGGTGCAGTGGGTAGATGGATGGAATGGGTGGGGTGGGGAGGGATGGAATGGGTGGATGGATGGATGGAATGGGTGGGTGGGTAGGTGGGATGGAATGGAGGTGGGTGGGTAGATGGATGGATGGAGTGGGTGGAAGTGGATGGATGGAATGGAGTGGGTGGGTAGATGGAAATAGAATAGGTGGGTGGGTAGATGGATGGAATGGGTGGGTGGATGGATGGAATGGAGTGGTGGGTGGATAGGTGGATGGAATGGATGGATGGGTAAAATGGGTGGAATGGGTGGGTGGGGATGGATGGAATGGATGGGTGGGTGGGTGGATGGATGGAATAATGGGTGGGTGGATGGATGGAAATGAATGGGTGGGTGGGTAGATGGATGGAATGGGTAGGTGGATGGATGGATAGAGAATGGGTGGGTGGGTAGGTGGATGGAATGGGTGGGTGGGTAGGTGGATGGAAAGGTGGAGTGGGTGGATGGAAGAGGTGGATTGGAATAGATGGTGGGAGGTAGGTGGTGGAGTAGATGGGAATGGGTAAGGTGGAGTGAATGGATGGATGGAATGGGTTGGTTAGGTAGGTAGATGGATGGAATAGGTGGGTAAGGTAAGGTGGATGGAATGGGAATCGGTGGGTAAGAATGGATGGGAATAGGTGGATGGGTAGATGGATGGGAATGGTGGTAGGTGGGTAGATGGATGGGAATAGGGTAGGTGGGTGGAGTGGATGGAATAGGCCAGTGGGTAGATGGATAGAATGGGTAGGTAGGTAGATGGATGAGATGGATTAGAATAGCAGGATGGATAAAATTAAAATTAGGTGGGTAGATGGATGGGAATAGGTAGGTAGGTAGAGTGGATGGAAATGGGTAGATTGGTAGGGATAGGAATAGGTGGTGGTAGATGGATACAGAATTAATTGGGTAGGTAGGTAAGATGGAATAGGAGGTGGTAGAGTGGATGGGAATAGGTAGTAGAATGGACATGGTGGGTGGGTAGATGGATGGAATAGGTGGTAAGGTAGGTAAGAGTAAGATGGGAGAATAGGTGGGTGGGTAGATGGAATGGGAATGGATGGAATGGTAGGGATGGATGGATGGATGGAATGGGAATAGGTGGGTGGATGGATGGATGGGGGTACATAGTCGGGGTAGGTGGGTAGATGGATGGAATGGAGTAGGTAGGTAGGTGGATGGAATGGATGGGTAGGTGGTGGATGGAATGGATGGATGGATAGAGCAGGTGGATGGATGGGTGGATGGATGGACAAACAGATGCAGACAGAGGGAGGAGACTCACACTGTTGAGCCCAATGGACCTGGCCACCTTCATATTCCATTCACAGAGTTCTGTGACGGACCCTCCGGTCACACGGTACCCCAGGGCTGCCTGAACAAACCACCTCATGGAGAGACTCTGGAACAGCAACAGACCTAACTGAAGATTGTTCACTTTTTGCAATATTCCATCAACATCATGGCAGGGGACACTAGAAATGGGCTTCACACATTTTCCCATGTGAGGAATCGAACCCATGCCTACAGCATGACGAGTGAATGCTTTAACCACCAGGCTACCCCACCCTCCATCTAACTAATGAAACACGGCATTTTGAAACACAAGGGTGAGTTTGCTGCAATCTGTTTGGCTGATAAACTTCAAACAGTATTGAATCCCTTCTAGAATTTACACTGCATTTTATAGGTGGATCCAGAGGGGTGCAGTGGTGCACACCCACCCTTTTGTCCTGAAAGTTTATTAAATGACCATTGAAACTCTTGTGAAAATGGGTGTAAAATGAACTGTGCACCCCCCCTTTCTCAAAAAGCTGTATCTGCCCCTGTATTTGAATACCTATCTTGATAACATATTTTTTTGCCAATTTCATAACAGAATAATTCTATTATGGAAAGTAAAGGCATGATCCAGCAAGTGAACATGACATGACTCTTAATAAAATACAAATTAAATTTTTGAATGCCAATGAAAATGTTTAATATTTTGTGGGATAACAAATGACGCCATTGTGCACTCACTCACCTCTTCAGAAGAGAAGACGAACATGTGACTGCTGATCTGTGTGAATTGCTCACTGCGGTCTGGCTGTTTGCGGAAGAACAAGCGTGTGGTCTGTCCGGACTTGGCTGCAGAAACAATGAAAAAACACTAACATACATGACGGTCTATGAGGGACTGAATATATCCGGGAATCACCATGGATGCAGTTTGGCAAAAGAATGATGACGTGGATACAGCAGGAACGTTGTTTTGTGCTTGATGTGCTAAGAAGCAGACACCTGGCACCAAATCTCAAGCACACATCTGACTGACTGACTGAGTGAGTTTGGTTTTACGCCGCTTTTAGCAATATTCCAGCAACATCACGGCGGGGTACACCAGAAATGGGCTTCACACATTGTACCCATGTGGGGATTCGAACCCGGGTCTTCGGTGTGACGAGCCAACGCTTTTACCACTAGGCTACCCCACCGCCCCTGCACACATCTGAACAAATTTGTACAAAACATATCAAGCTGTTTTATTCAGAATCCTAGGTAAATCATTGGCCTCAGAATCAACTCACCACTGGAATCTGGCTTGTCATAGTAAGCATGTGAGATCTCCCCAGTAATGTTGATGTCTATCCCAGAGGGAACCACATTGTCTGCAGGCCGCTTAGCATCCTTGAACATGTGTTGTATAACATGGCCGTCCTTACTGCAGCTCAAGAAGAAGTGGTTGTCATCACGCCACACAATTCCTGGGAACACGAAACAGATATTATCTGTATGTCAAACAATACGTGGCAACGCGAAAAACAGATTGTCTGTACGTCCAGCAAAACCTGGGTACACGAAACAGATATTATCTGTATGTCAAGCAAAACCTGGGTACACAAAACAGATATTATCTGTATGTCAAACAATACGTGGCTACACGAAACACAGATTGTCTGTATGTCCAGCAAAACCTGGGTACACGAAACAGAGATTGTCTGTATGTCAAACAATACGTTGGTACACGAAACACAGATTGTCTGTACATCAAGCAAAACCTGGATACATGAAACAGAGATTGTCTGTATGTCAAACAATACGTGGGTACACGAAACAGAGATTGTCTGTATGTCAAACAATACGTGGGTACACGAAACACAGATTGTCTGTACATCAAGCAAAACCTGGATACATGAAACAGAGATTGTCTGTATGTCAAACAATACGTGGGTACACGAAACACAGATTGTCTGTATGTCAAACAAAACGTGGGTACACGAAACAGAGATTGTCTGTATGTCAAACAATACGTGGGTACACGAAACAGAGATTGTCTGTACGTCAAACAATGCATTGGCTACCGCGAAACACAGATTGTCTGTATGTGTCAAACAAAACGTGGCTACACAAAACAGATTGTCTGTATGTCAAACAATAATGCGCTACACAAAGCAGAGAGATTGCCTGTATGTCAAACAATGCGTTAAGGTACACAAAATGTAGACATTGTCTGTACCGCGATCTTGAAACAATATGTGGGTCTGCGAAGCATGGGTGTCTGTATGTCAAACAATCGCATTGGCTACCGCGAAACAGAGATTGTCTGTACATCAAACAATATGTGGGTGCAAGAACAGAAGTTGTCTGTATGTCAAACCAATCACGTGGCTACACAAAAACAAAGTTGTCTGTATGCCAAAGGCAATGCATTGGGTTACACAAAACGCAAGATTGTCTGTACATCAAACAATATGTGGATTACAGGGAAACAGAGATTGTCCATTGATGTCAAACAATCACGTGGGTACATGAAACAGAGATTGTCTGTGGATCCATATCAAACAATATCTTGGTGCTGAAACAGAGATTGTCTGTATGTCAAACTTAATGCGATGGGTACAGAAGCAGAGATTGTCTGTATGTCAAACAATAATGTAGAGGGTACGAAACAGAGATTGTCTGTATGTCTAACAATATGTGGGTGCAAAAGGCATGGATTGTCTGTATGTCAAGCTCAATACGATGGGTTACCGCAGAGCGAGATTGTCTGTATGTCAAACAATATGTGGGTACGAGAGCAAAGAGATTGTCTGTATGTCAAACAATATGTGGGTGCACAGAAAGCATAGCAGATTGTCTGTATGTCAAACAATGCAGTGGTATTACAGAACAGAGATTGTCTGTATGTCAAACAATATGTGGCTACATGATACAGAGATTGTCTGTATGTCAAACAATCACGTGGGTGCATAGAAACAAGTTGTCTGTATGTCAAACAATATGTGGGTGCACTGAAACAGAGATTGTCTGTATGTCAAACAATACATTAGGTACACTAAAATAGACATTGTATGTATAGTCAAACAATATGTGGGTAGATCAAACGCAGATTGTCTGTATGTCAAACAATACGTGGGTACACAAAAACAGATTGTCTGTATGTCAAACAATCACGTGGCTACATGATGCAGAGATTGTCTGTATGTCAAACAATATGTGGGTGCAGAGGAAACAGAGATTGTCTGTATGTCAAACAATAACGTGGGTTCATGATACAGAGATTGTCTGTGCGTCAAACAATATGTGGGTACACGAAACAGAGATTATCTGTATGTCAAACAATATGAGGGTACTGCTAAAGAAACAGAGATTGTCTGTATGTCAAACATTACGTGGGTACATGAAACAGAGATTGTCTGTATGTCAAAACAATATGTGGCTACATGATACAGAGATTGTCTGTATGTCAAACAATCACGAGGGTACGAAACAAGAGATTGTCTGTATGTCAAACAATATGTGGGTGCACTTGAAACAGAGATTGCCTGTATGTCAAACAATGCGTGGGTACACAAAATAGACATTGTCTGTCGTATCAAACAATATGTGGGTACGCGAAGCATGAGGGTGTCTGTATGTCAAACAATGCATTGGCTACACAAAACAGATTGTCTGTCACGTCAAACAATATGTGGGTACCACAAAGCGCGAGATTGTCTGTATGTCAAACAATCATTGGGTTACCACGAAACAGAGATTGTCTGTATGTCAAACAATATGAGGGTACACGGAAACAGAGATTGTCTGTATGTCAAACAATATGTGGGTACACGAAGCATTGTCTGTATGTCAAACAATGCGTGGGTACTACCGAAAGCATGAATTGTCTGTCGATCAAACAATATGTGGGTAGATTACCTGAAACAGAGATTGTCTGTATGTCAAACAATATGTGGGTTTTACGAAACACAGATTGTCTGTATGTCAAACATTCACGTGGGTACACGAAACAGAGATTGTCTGTATGTCAAACAATGCACATTGGCTACATGATGCAGAGATTGTCTGTATGTCAAACAATCTGAGGGTACCCACGAAACAGAGATTGTCTGTATGTCAAACAATAGGTGGGTGCACTGAAACAGAGATTGCCTGTATGTCAAACAATGCATTTGGGTACACAAAATAGACATTGTCTGTAACGTCCAAACAATATGTGGGTACGAAAACGAGATTGTCTGTATGTCAAACAACACGTGGCTACACAAAACAGATTGTCTGTATGTGTCAAACAATGACACATTGGCTACATGATACAGAGATTGTCTGTATGTCAAAGAATATGTGGGTGCCTGAAACAGAGATTGTCTGTATGTCAAACAATGCGTGGCTACATGATACAGAGATTGTCTGTATGTCAAACAATATGTGGGTGCCTGAAACAGAGATTGTCTGTATGTCAAACAATAGGTGGCTACATGATACAGAGATTGTCTGTATGTCAAACAATATGTGGGTGCAAGAAACAGAGATTGTCTGTATGTCAAACAATATGTGGGTGCCTGAAACAGAGATTGTCTGTATGTCAAACAATATGTGGGTGCCGAAAACAGAGATTGTCTGTATGTCAAACAATCACGTGGCTACATGATACAGAGATTGTCTGTATGTCAAACAATATGTGGGTTACCATGAAACAGAGATTGTCTGTATGTCAAACAATGTCGTGGCTACATGATACAGAGATTGTCTGTATGTCAAACAATATGTGGAGTGCCTTGAAACAGAGATTGTCTGTATGTCAAACAATATGTGGATTACTTGAGAAACAGAGATTGTCTGTATGTCAAACAATATGTGGGTACCACGAAGCATGGTGTCTGTATGTCAAACAATACGTTGGTACACGAGAACAAGAGATTGTCTGTATGTCAAACAATATGAGGGTACGAGAAACAGAGATTGTCTGTATGTCAAACAATCGTGTCTACTACGAAACAGAGAGATTGTCTGTCACGTCAAACCAATGCGTGGCTACCACCTGCGAAGCAGAGGAGGTTGTCTATTATGCGTCAAACAATATGTGTTTCACTTAGCAGAACACATAGAAGCAAGAGATTGTCTGTATGTCAAACAATGCGTGGCTACGAAACAGAGATTATCTGTATGTCAAACAATGCGTGGCTACGAAAGAGAGAGATTGTCTGTCGTCAAACAATGTCGTGGGTACCTGAAGCAGAAGTGTCCATGCGTCAGAGCAATGCATGGGTACATAGAAATCTGTATGTTAAACAATATTTGGGAACAGTACATGAGTTCACAGTACAAAGATCGTTGGCCCATGACATACAATACCTTTTATCTTACCTCACACATAAATGTAGCTTTCTGATTGGCTGTAGCTCTTCTATTATTTTCAATGTACCCGCATACAAGCAAAAGTAACATTTCAATGTACCCGCTGTCAATGGCAACTCAGTTGGTGCCATTGGTAGTAATTCTTTATCTTGAATTACATTGAATCACGCATTATGATATGATTATCTACGGAGAATTACCGATGTTTTCGCGAATGCAAAGCGATGGAAGGGAGATAACTCTAAATCTGTTTTACTCGTCAGCAAAATCTAGCGATGGCTACAAAAGATTTGTACCCGGAGCTCAAACAATTCAAAATTAGCGTGTTGGTAAGATAAATAGATTGTTCACTGGTCCCTTGGGTCCCATGGGTTGATGTACCCTCGATGTTTGTTTATCGAGGGACATCAACCCATGCCCCCTCGTGACCAGTGAACAACTTATAATATTAGGGAATACATCTTGAGTGAATATGACTTGTGACAGAAGTCGCAATTGGCCGGGGAATGGACTATTGTAATACCTCATCAATCTGATCAATCAATCCACAGGTGCAGATCCTCAAAGTTTAGGAGACGCAGAATTCTGACCATTAAAGGGACTGAATATTCAACTGTATGAGGGTATTGAAAGGTTAAATTCTGTGTTAATTTTGCAAATCAGACGAGATTCTCGCCACTAATATGAAATCAAAATTCTTCATTGATGGTGACTGGTCTACCTGTAGTGACGTCCTTATGCTCATCGAAGGAGGCAAAGGGGATGTACGGCCTGTGGAGGTTCCAGATATTCACATCGTGGTCGAGGAGCAGGGAGCAGCTGGCGAGGTGGTAGCGTCGTTGTGGCCGCCACTTTACACGGGCCACTGATGCAATTGTCTGTATGTTAAACATCAGCTTGGCTGGCATCCGTGAAATATCCCATACCTGCAGTCAACAAACAGACAACAGTCCATACAATGCATGTTTGTGTCTTGTTTTATTGTTTTGTACTTTATATCTTTTATTTGTATACTTCTCTCCCTGTAAGTTGTATTCCCGTCTTGTCACAGAGAGGCCAAAAGACAACATCAAGAATCAAATTATTTATCATATTGATTACATGACTCTTTTATTCTCTTGAATGAAATTTCAGAGCAATATCTTGACTCCTCGTCATTGACGTGAAGAAGGAGCAAGATGTAGCACTGAAACGTTGCAGAAAAGAATAAAAGAGGTGAGGAGAGGTGAGGTGAGGTGAAATTGGGTTTAACGTCGTGCTTGAGAATATTTCGCTCATATGACGACGTGCATGCGTGTGTATGTGTGGCTGCTTGTACTAGCCCAGACTTAAGCTGGTTTTATAGTGCTAGCCCACTGAGATACCATGCCGCAGTGAAGCATGAATACCCCACTCAGACACATTATACTGACTCCGAGCCAACCAGTCCTTGTTGTACCCATTAATGCCGAGCGCCAGGCAGGGACCAACAAGTACCATATTTTAACAACTTTTGGTATGACGGTGTCGGGATCGAACCAGCTTAATCTTCTGCCTCTCAGAATAAAAGAAGCTGCTATCCTTAAAACCGCGTGTATGCATTCATGTTCTTTCTACTTCTAAATACCAGTCAAAGAGACTTCATAGTTTGTTTGTATTTTAATGTTGTACACAGCCAGATTCCAGCTGTATGACGGACCAGATGATTCAGTGATGAATATTGAGAACCATGATCCGTGCTGCTGCTGGGGACTGATAATCAAGTGACCAGGTCTGACCACAAGATTCATTTGGATGCCTTTTATGATGTTGACTACTTCAGTGTTCAATTGAATAGCGCCTGACCCTCTGACAAATCCGGCAGATTCGCCAACGGGTCAGACAGAAGTCTACAACCTCGCCCCGCCCCAGTGTCTGACTATATTTCACAATGACTTTGACTGAAGTTGTTATATGAGACCTGTGACACTTGTTTGCTGTTTATAAATCTTATGTTTGTTAATAATTTCAATGTCAATTATAAGAAATATTAAATCTGAAATGTGTGTTTAATTACATTCCATGGGTCCTGTGCATTTTCAATGGGTCAGACAGACATCTGATACTTACAGGACCCAATGTCCTGTGACTTTGAAACACCATTAGTGAACACTGCACTTCAGTGAAACCGAAAGTATGATGCGGTGATAAACCACTGATCATAGGTTTTCAGATACAACTCAGTATCTGTCAGTGGTGAATTATAGTTGGACAGAAAACAGATAACTTCTAAGCTTGATTGGACAATCCATCCCAAAGTGAGGTAAATGTACGTTTATGGTTTCTAAGGTTGCTTTAGATCAGCTGTAACATTAATATTTCACACAAACACCAACCAACCAGTCAATGATTTGTAAATACGAAGTCTATATCGTAGTAGTACCCGTGAAGAATTGGGTGAGAATTGATCTTCGGTAACCCATGGTTGTCGTGAAGAGGCTTACGTAACAGGATGGGGTTGTCAGGCTCACTGACTGGGTTGACACCAGTGAGTGAAATAAGCCAAAATCCAGCTAGACATCAGGGCTGGTAACTTCAAAATGTTACCAGCCCAAACTGGATTTAACCAGACCAAATATGGTGAATTTACTAGCTTTATTTTTAAACCGTCCGTCAGAAATCTAGGACCGACTCGGGCGTCGGATCGGCCTTATTTCATACACTGTAGACACACGCCATGGTGTCCCAATTGCATAGATCGATGTTCAGGCTGTTGATCCCTGGATTGTCTGGTGTAGAATCGATCATTTACAGACCACCGCTGTATAGCTGGAATACTGCTGAGTGGGGCGAATAACTAAACTCACTCACTCACTCTATCTCGTAGTTAGGTATTTACTTGCGTCCAGCTATAATACAGATAAAATTCCGCCTAAACTCACCCATTATGAGTTTGTCTCAGCCCGGCAGTTGCCATCCAGTTCTTTGTCTTCAGGATGCCAGTCATGGGAAAACACTGGTCCGAGTGGGTGTGAACACACTCTCATACCGGTCAGGCCCGACGCATGTCCCAGATCTGAGGGCAGGTGAGACAGAAAGTCAAATACAAAGCTCAGCCCTCACAATCTACAATCTTAGGCTTTAGCCACTGGTCAGAAACCAGTCTAGTGTAATTTGGTTTGGTCTAGCAAACTCACCTAATAATATTCAAAAGCCATTTCATAGTCTGCAGTTGACCTAAAGTTACCTGTCTTAGTGACCCGTTCATAATGTGTGGCTAGTGGGAGTGAGGATGACATTTATGGAGAAGCATGTACAAAGTGAATGACCCCCTATACACTTTATGTACAAACTAAGTCCCCCCCTGCATGTCATGTACAAAATCAATGACCCCACTTCCCATAATTTTTAACCATAATTTTTAATAATTTTAAAGTACAAACTTGCTGACTTCCTACCTCCCCAGAACAAAAATGAGTACCCCCACCCCCACCCCACCCACACCCCCAAATCATCATCATAAATTTGCCAGGAGTTTGTTTATTTCGACAAATAATATGTCATGATTTTCAACCTTAGCACATTTACATGCAAAGTGTAACCATGGTAACACAAGAGTCCTCCTCACCTGAACATTGCCGTTGTCGATGCGTGGTAGCCAAATGTGAAGTAGCTGTTTGGACAGAACTGGACATCTCGTACACTCTCTGATCCTTTTGCCCACGAACCTCGAACTAACAGATTTCTTCCCTGACGTCCTGTTGATGAAACCATCACAAACACTGAATGCAAGAGCACGCCAGAAGCAAGACATGAAATGAGTAAGTTCCCTTGTTCAGTATTATTGAATAATGACATTGATAGATTTACTCAGAAGTTGTAAAATACTAAAAGCAATAGCTTACTCCTGTCTTAAAACATAAATCAAGAAGAGTGAGTGGGTGAGTTGAATTTTAGGGACTTTGTCATAACGTTATGGTTGGGGGTGATGATGATTTTAAGGAGAAGTACATTACAATGTGAATGACCCCCTAAAACTTATGTACAAAGTAAGTGACCCCTGCACGTAATGCACAAAGTCAATGAACCCCCTCTCCTTTTCCATCTTTTTAAAGCATAATTTTTAAATATTTATATGTACAAAATTTCTGACCCCCCTCAAGCAACATGTGTACAAAATCGATGACCCCCCTACCTCCCCAGGACAAAATGGGTGACCCCCACTAAAATCATCATATCTCTCTCTCTCTCTCTCACTCACACACACACATACATACATACATACATACATACACACATTATGAACAGTCCCTTAGCAATACTGCAGTAATATCCGCGGCGGGGGACATCAGAAATGGGCTTCAACCCAGGTTCTCGGTGTGATGAGTGAGCGCTTTCACCACTAGGCTACCCACTAAACTTCAATATGAGAGTTATGGCAATGTTGATCACACTTCTCAACACATGTCAGTGAAATACTGCAGGCATTGAAGAGTGAGGGTATTTATGTGCTGAAGTCAGTATGAATATGTGTTAACACAGCTTTTAGCAATATTCCAGCAATATCGCCGGGGAATACCATAAAATTGGCTTAACACATTGTACTAATGTGGGGATTGAACCCGTGTTTTCGGCATTATGAGCTAAGCTTTAACCACTAGACTAGCCCACTGCACCACTTGTCTAGGGGATATAACATTGAATTGCTATACAATGGGACTACCTGTGTTGCTGGTGCAATAAACAATATAGATCATTTGTGTAAACGTGAAACAATTACTACGTACGAAGAGGATGACATTGCCGTCTTGAGATCCGCTGATGAGAAGCTGGTGTTCTCCACTGTGAAAGTTGACCCTGTTCACGGAACGCTTGTGATCCGCAAAAACATGTTCTGTAACAGTGAGTGAGTGAGTGAGTGAGTGTGTGTGGTTGATACCATGAGGATGTACAATGGAAAGTCATAAACAAGGTCACAGAGGCTGATCAACTGATCAGAAACATCAAATTCAACTAAAGCATGTTTCCTGTTGATATGTTTGTTAAATCAAGACATAAACAACTGATAAAGTTTCCTGACTCATAAAACTGCAGCGTAAAACAACATACATGTGTGCATGTCTCAACAGGAAGTAGCCTCAATTGTCTTGATCATAGTATTGATCGATGCCAGTTTCATCTGCACAATGTTATGATTGTGTCCTGTTATGAGTTTTAATATAGGATTTACAGTCACAATCGAATATTAATCGATTACTCAGCCCGATCATCTATCTGCATATTGTGAGTGCCAACCAGCAATAGTAACAGATATATACAAGGGATTTACAGGATGCGAATACCTGCGCCCTATACCCATAAGAATTGACAATGGACGCTTAACCAAATTTATTATTAGAATCCACAGGGACTCAGAAAAAGTCTAAATACTATTTGTAAAAATTCCAATCAAGTGACAATGTGTTATCACTGAGTTTGCTTCTAGCTGGGTTATGGTATTATTTGCAATTTAATTACTGTAACAATGTGGTGATCATGATACACAATACAATAACAGTAGCTGAATTACAACACTATTACAACATAGTATTAATAATAATATTATGTGTCTGGGACCCCATTTTGTTGTCCAGGACCCCTGAAAATTAAGAGTAGTATGAGTCCCAGGGACCCTCAAATACAGGACTCCATGTAAAATCCCTGTATATATCACCAACTACCGACATACACATACAAATGTCTACATCAGTGAGATATACAACAGACATCTCTCAGCAACCTGTAAATAATGGGGTCATTGACAGCATGAATCTTAAGGACATGTTTACATATACCAGCATGGGGTACAGGAGATCTGCCAGCGGATCCATATGAGGACAAATATTTACTTTACGGAAATGTTTCCGACATTAAATGAAGAAAACATATATGCCTTGCCTTGTTTTAAACAGAAGGCCTGTTCAAATCCCAGATGACAACCCGACCCGTTTGTTGCTGCGGAGGCAAGGATGTTTTCTGAAAAGAGGACAAAACATTTACATGCAATATACAACATATAAATAGTGCAATATACAACATATAAATAGTGCAATATACAGTCAAATCCGATGAGTCGAGCTTCGGGGACCAAGTAATAAATTCGACTTATTGATGTATTCGAGAGACATAGGTATGTCTATGAGGATAGAAAAACACATGATCCAGTCCTAATTCTCCTCACCTAAGCATTTGTTTATCTAATGATTTTACCCAATCCACAAATAAAACCAGACGTCATCCAGGCAGACTTGTTGTGACAGTATGAAGTCGGCAGAGATTTGACATTCTTAAAACAACGTGGCTTAGCAGATTTCCCTATCACTAATAGGGGCACCTTATCAGTTCCAGTCTGATTACAGCACAGACAAGGACAGTTAGGTGTTCCTTTGATTGAGTTAACCAAATGTTATGTGCTAATTCTTCCGCTTCCGTAAAATCACTAATCTGCCTTTTTGAACTCACCCTCGACAATGGCGAAAGGTGTGAGTCAGGCTGGTTTGTTAATTGGATCAGTTAGCTACCAATTAATTTCTCATATTGACTGACTTCGGGCTTATGTATACAAGATTGCTGTTGTTTGATTCTCATGGGGCCAAATTTCCTTCTCGAAGTTATCGCATTGTATTTATGAGTCAATTCAGGCGGTAACCGGAAATCAAATGATGACAACTATGACAGGGAATGGTTGGGACCGACAGGTACTTCGAGTTATGCATAATATTCGAGACGCTGGCATTCGACTCATCGGGATTTGACTGTACATCATAGTGTGAGTGAATGAGTTTAGTTTTACGTCGCCTTTTTGCAACATTCCAGCAATATCACAGCAGGGGACACCAGATATGGGCTTCACACATTGTACCCAAGTTGGGCATCGAACCCAGGCCTTTGGCGTGACGAGCGAACGCTTTAACCAATAGGCTACCAAACTGACCCAATATACATCAAACAAATAGTGTGCGAGAAGTCTTGTTGTGTTTGTGGACATTTGCTATTAAATTGCTATTGTGTTGTCATTCTTAATGAGTTATTTTGATCTTTTGTGAGCATTCAAAATTTGATAATCATAAATTTCAGCCAGGCCTTTTAGCCTGCAGTCTAAATATGTCAGCTAACAACTTAAATGTCCACCTGATTTTGTACCTAGGTACAAACTTGCTCCACTAACACGCACACGTGAAGCAAGCCCAGGATCATAAAGTAGCAGAGCATCAAATTAATGGGAAATATTCTTCCTTTGTATCGGATTGACGTTCAATATGTAATTTTCTGACTAAAAATGATATTTTATACTTTCCTGACTCATGCTAAATGCTTGTCTTCCTTTCCTTGCGAATGATAGCGGAACACTTGAAATCCCTTGAAGTTCCCTTCAAGTATTGGACGTAAAATCACCACTCACCCAAGAGTTACCTCCCTTGCCTCCCTTTTGGTCACCTGACCGGCCATGTTTTGTCACTCTCTCCATATGTATGCCAGACACCCGGATTTACAGGGAAATCCAGAGTGCCCTGAGAGGGGAGGTTGGGAGGGCTGACCTCACGAGTCAGGATAAGTATAAAATATCAATTTTAGTCAGAAAATTTATACAAACCTGTAGAGGTTATGAATTCTTTGAAGAAAGTCCTCCTTGGGGTACATATAAGCATTAAAATGTCCATTTTAAATCCTACCTACAGTTGTAACTATATTTTTTAATAAAATATTTACAAAACAAAAACTCGCTTTGTCTTGTGAGACCACCCCTACAGGGCCCCACCGGACCAACACAGCCAAGAGCAGGTAACTCTCGCCCGCCTACCTTACCTCACTTTTCATGCTGAACGTGTCAGACAGAATGAGGGGAGGGCGGGTGGCAGGCACCCCCAAGGAGGACTTTCTTCAAAGAATTCATAACCTCTACAGGTTTGTATAATTCTTTTCAGAAGAAGTCCTCCTTGGGGTACATATAAGCATATGACAGACTCCCAAAGATATTTGAGACGGGAGTGGCATTCTGTCTGGCAACAACTAAACCCGTGGTGGAGTGAAATCTACAACCCATACCGGAAATAGAAAACACTGAGCCACCTGACCGCTGATGTCAATCAGACGGGCGGAACTAGGAGCCCAAGCTTATATGTCAATTGGCTCAATATCAATGACATAAAACCCGCCAACCATTACAATGGAAGGAATGTATGGGGACATGCCGAAACAACTCCCAACCCTAATATAGCCCCAGCCAGACAATCGTGGCGAGAGGTATAAGGGTAGGGAAAGCGTAAAACAATTTAAACGCTACAAAGCCAATAACCCAGGAGTCGAAGCTAATAAGTACTGCAAACTATCGCTCAATGCAGCCCCCTGTTTGGAAGAGGGCTTGCCGGACCTCAATAAAACCCAGAGAAATTATTAGCCTCGCTAAAACTTCTGAGGAAATCGAACGAAAGTACAAACGCCATGCATTGTGAAAGTGAAAACACCAAACACTCTCGCGCGGAGGAGGGTAAGTGTAGGCCACCATCCCACAAAGCTGATTAACACAGGCTCCCAAATACCGGAAGGCTCGGAAGAGGGAAAACTGTAAGCCGCATAAAAATCCCCTGAATAGCTTAAAAGCTTAACATATATGTTGGCTCACCATTACACTAACCTGGTCGCGTGACATGCGGCTCGGAGAGAGGCATACCCAACAGTGCCCCGTGCGGGGGTTCGCGACCCAATTCCGCCGCGAAGACGGGTTAATAGCATATGACTGGTTAAAGCGTTCAAAACGGACCCGCCCTCTTGAAGGGACGAAGGGACGATGTACACCCAAACCCGACCCAACCCGGAAAGGATGGTAAGGCTAATAATGATGTACTGATATGAAATATATCGACATTGAACACAGAACCGATACCAATGACCAGTTACTAACTTGGTCAGGGTGGCAGGTCACTCTCCACTGGAGAACCGAAGAACCGAACCGAGCACGATCCTTAGAATGCGTGTCAAGTTGGTAATGGCGAATGAAGGCGCTCTGCTGGCTCCAAAGAGCGACAGAACCGATCTCTTCATTGAGCAGTGCCGCTGTGTATTATCAACAAAGCCGCATCTGCCCTACCCAGTCTGCCTTCAACCCTCGAGGTAAACCGTATCATTGTAACCATACAATTCACGGAAACAAGCCAACGAGATAAAGTGCGCTGTTAGCAGACTCCCCCCAGTCTTCCCGCCACCAAACAGCACACATGGGTACCTGTACGGATCCCTTTTGTTCGTTTCGTTTTCGCGACAGAGGCACGGGTGAGCAATCGAAGATTGGTCCCGGCGCGGAAGGCTGGTAAGGGGTGGAAGTGCGATATGAGCAGTCACGTGGAAAGCAATATCGCACTGAGAGTGGTAGGTATCCGAGTCGAATACGGACATGATCAGTATAAAATACTGTCAGTGTCGGGTCAGTGGGAATCGCATGGATGTACCCGACCCTTCTACCAGAGTTCACCACAGCAAGTAAAGTCGCCTTCCACGCCAACAAGTGAAGTGAGAGAGACGATATACTTGAAAAATTAGGGCCAGACAGCCAATTGTGAATAAGTGGCAATTTTAAGGTGGGCTGAATGCAAGCCGACGAAAGGCCGGATCGAACCCTGTTCATGCCAGCTACTGACGCCGATATGCGAGAGGATGCTGCCTAGGCAGAGCACCATCGAACGAGGTGTGAACGCGGAAATAGCCATGAGTTACCGGCAATGGTGGAGGTCATAAGGCTCTCAACCAAAACGAGGTTATAGTAACTCCAATATCCGAACTAAGTCCGCCAGAATAGGGATTATGAAATCCCCCTATCTGCACACCAGCCCCACCTATCAACACACTGAACGATTGGTGGAATCCCAGGCAGAATTGTGTCTGCAACGGTTGCAGGAATTCTGTGTGTTATACCCGACAGAGGCCAAGCCACCCAGTGAATCCGAGGATTCGGGTGTGGGCGCCCGCAGAGTGAGAATGTCTGGTCGAAGAGGTAATTCGAATCCCGGCGTCGCGGATCGAACACCAACCTGACTGCTGTCAATTCCAGCACATTGATGTGCAGGTTGTGACTTCGTCTCAAGAGGCTGCAGGTCACCCAGAACATGGCCCTAACCCGTAGGGATGTATCTGGCTGACTGAGAGCGGACGGTGTCTCCAGGGTGGGGACCTCGAGAGACGCTTCGACGCCTGTCCATCTGACTCGCTGAGGTTGATTAATTCCGCCCAGCTTCAGAATCGATCGCGGAGGTCCCGAGACTCAACAGTTATCTGAAACCACGCATGAGTCAGTCGCCATGTAATGTAGGGTGACAACACCGCACTGGGCACGATCTGGCTATCTGAGCTGTAATAAACCCTCAATTTGGTGAACACCCTTGGCACCGTCAGAATGTAGCCTAAGGAGAGCACATCAAAACTGGTAGCACGTCCCATCAAACAAGAAACCGAAGGTAAATCTTGAAATCAGGGTGCAATGGAACAAGGAGGTACGCGACTCGAGATCGATTGACGCGGCGCCAATCCCTGTCTCGGGCAGATGAGATCACCGAGCCGGTGTCTCCATCTTGAAGGACAGTACCTCTATAAACTTGTTCAGCTCTCAGATGAGAATGGGTCTGAACATTCCGTTCGTAATGGCAACTATGAAATAAGTGGAGTCAAACCCTACATATTCCTGACCATTGGAAACCACCACATTGGTTGCCTAGCCCAGCAAAGACTGGATCTACAGGCACGGAGTATTGTCGCCGTCTCCGGGAAGCCGACACAGGAGTGTGTCGCTCCGCCCGGTGTTTGCGGGCAGAATATAGTAACCCAGCAGTCGGCAACTTAACGCTTGCCGATGCCTGCGCACCTTGAGGAAGTAACGAAGCTCAACAGACTTCTCGTGATTCCTCGAAAACTAGCCCCCGGGCGATATGCCCATAACCGCCCTCATCATTTGACTGGCACAGCTACAATGCAGTCCTTCCTAGCCA